CCAGTCAGCAGTATGCAGTACTCGAACTTCTGCTTTCCGAGGTTCTCAGTCAAGTAGTCGGCTGCCATCTCGGACGTGGGGCAGTATGACAGCTCGAGTCTTGTCCTTCACGAAGAAGTATCGTAGGGCGATGCGTTTGTCATGTTTGCGAAGCCGTTCTTGTTGGCTATGTGAATGGCCGACTGGTTGTCGCAGAACAGGGTGAAGTTTGGTAAATGGGCTAGCTTGGCTTCCTCCAGGACTTCGCGAAGGTACAGTCCTTCCTTGGTGGCTGAGCACAGTGCGATATATTCTGCCTCAGCTGAAGAGAGGGCGATTAATTCCTGCTTGCTCGACTGCCAGTTGATAGGCCCGATAGGCTCGAAGCGATAGATGTAGCCGGTGGGTGAGCGCCTGTTGTCAGAGTCGCCAGCGTGATCGGCGTCAACGTAGCCGATTAATTTAGATGTTGAGGTTCCGTTCTTATGATAAGTCAGGCCGATCGTTGGAGTGCTAACGAGGTAGTGAAGAGCGCGGTCGAGCTTCACCATGTGATCCGCTTCAGGTTTCTTGAGGTAAGTAGCGAGTTGACTTACAGAGTATCACAGATCCGGACGGCAGGTGACGGCTGCGAAGAGAAGACAGCCCAGCTTTCTCTAATAGTCGCGTATACCGGCGGACTTTAGTGGAGTGGATCCTTCCCCGTTGTTTCTTGCCGCGTAGCGATATAGCGTGGAGATGGTGGTCGGCATGAGTGCAAAGCGTTTAGCGATGGTGTCGGCGTATTTCGCGGCGCTGAGGTAGATTGCGTCTTCTTCTTCCTGAATGTTGAGGCCGATGTACTGTGTGACGGTGGACGAGACCGTGAGTGTGAGATCGTTTTGTAGCTCCCCTTCGAACCAAGTAGTGACGCTGTCGGTTGAGCCGATGTAGAGTAAATCGTCTACGTAGACGATTAGTAGGATGTATTCGGTGCCCTTTGTGAGCCGCTACATGCCTTGGTCGTGAGGTAACTGGCAAAATCCGATGCGAGTGAGTCTTGCGTGTAGGTACTGCTACCAAAGCCTCGAGGCTTGTTTGATGCCATGGAGCGACTTCAACAGCTGACAGACTTGGTTAGGTTCTCCGTTGGAGCCGTGCGGTAGCTTGACAAAGATCTATGCGTCAACAGGTGCGTTGAGAAATGCGTTGGCGACGTCAATTTGCCGCATCTTCTGTTTCTTCATGGCGGCGATCGCGAGGAGAATTTGCGGCGATCGCGAGGAGAATTCGCAGCGAGGTGTGTCGGCTGACTGGAGCGAATGTCTCGGTGAAATCGCGTCCGTGTTCCTAGTCGAAGCCGCGTACGACCCAGCGTGCTTTGAACTTGTCGATGGTGCCGTCGGCCTTTGTCTTCACGCGGAAGACCCACATTCCGGTGAGAATCGTCTTGTTCCGTGCTACGCCGACAGGAACAACCTTCCAGGTGTTGCGTTCCTCCAGTGCTTTCAGCTCCTTGTCCATGGCTTCGCGCCATTTTTCCTTATGCTCCCCCCCCAGAGCCTGCTGAACTGTTGCAGGCTCCTTAGGAATGGCTGTCCTGTGGACTGCGGTGACGAGGCCGAGTATCTGGAGTCCACTCTGTGTGTAGCGGGGAAGTGATGTGTCCTCGGGATAAGCTGCTTCGTCTCCCTCTTCTGGCGTAGGATTGAAATTTGGTCGTACGCAGTGTGCTTCATTGGTGTTGACTTGTGCAGGTGTAACGTAACCGTTGTCGGCGAAATGGTAATAGGTTTCGGCGTTGATGCTTTCGCGTGGATTCTCGTCATCCATTGGGACGTTGACGGAGCAGTAGGGGAGAGGTCCGGCTTCTTCTGAGGCTCCCTCCACGTTCTGCTCGTCCCAATCAGCTTCAAATCTCATCCTCCGTCTGACTGGAAGCTTTTGAGTTTTACTTCGGATTCTCGTTCTGCTACTGGAAGCCAGGCGACGAAGGCTTTGAAGGCCATGTCGCGGCTTGGAAGATTTAGGTGCAAGACGTATCATGTGGCAGCGTGGATGAAGGTGATGGTGTAATTGTACGCGTTTTATCCAGGCTCGCGGTTGTATAGGATGTCGCTGTACACCTTTTCGAGTGGCGCGTAAGCCGGTGCGCTTGGGTTGTGGTGAGACACGAACGGTTGATGCGGTAAGTCAGCTTCGGGACATGTGAAGCATGTTCCACGGGCTCGCTAAAGTTCTCTGCCGTCAGTTAGGAGTAGAGAGTCTTTGCCGAGCACGCCTGCTCTTATCGTGTTTAGCACCGTGTTGCTTGGGTGACCCATTCTTGCGTGCTAGGTTCCTTCGGTGGCGCGATGTCCGGGTGAGCGCCGATACATGTCTGAGGTGGAGTAGAAACCGGCGGTGAAGTTGGCGCTTCGGTGGACTTCTCGTTGAGTCGGAGTTACCTGCTGCGCGGGTGTTGGTGATGTATCGTTGGTGAAGATTGGTGTCGTTGAAGGACCAGCGATTGGTGTCGTTGTTGCCACTGCTGTTGTTGTCTCTGCTGCTGCCGATGTTGTCTCTACTGCTGCCGGTGTTGTCTCTGCTGCTGCCGGTGTTGTCTCTGTTGCTGCCGATGTTGTCTCTGCTGCTGCCGAATGTTGTATTGTCGCTAACACTCTTGTTCTTTCTGCTTCAGGGATGGTTTCCGAGTACCAAAAGCCTCCAGGACTGAATCTGGGTCAAGATCCGGTGGATGTGTCTAAGAGGTGAAGGAAACGATCCCGTCGCTGTCAGCGGTGCCGAGATCTGGAACAAAGTCAAGGACGAAGACGTTGTTCTTCAGGAATGCTTTGCTGATGTAAAGACCTCCTCTCCCATGGTACAGTTTGAATTCTTGGTTGTTGCTATCTGCTTCGAGGTGTATCCCTTTCGCCATTAACCGGTGTTGTCAAATTGCTCTTCTGGTGAGTAGTGTGGTGGTGACTCGGTGATACAGGAGTCGCTCAGTCTTGCCATACAAGTGACGATGTTCCTTGCTCCTTGTGCAGGTTGTCCCGTTGATGTCGTTTGAACTTGAGGGGTGGGGTTTGCTTGTGTTGAAGCGACTTGGCTGCTTGAAGGTCAAAGTTGTCGCTGTGGCGGTGTTGATTGTTGTCGACTAGGGCAGTGTGTCCGCGGATGTCTTGACGTCTTGCAGAGATGGCAGAACAGAGGTACGGGCTTTGGTTGTTGTCAGCTGTTGTTGGTGTTGTAGCGTCGCTGAGCTTGAAACGCGAATTCGGGTACTCATGCTTTCTTCTTGTGTCGTTCCTCTTGCAGGTCCATGTCTTGTTGCTCGACGTGAATTTCGGCGCAGAGTGTTGCTTCGGAGATCTTCCTGTGAGCTCGGAGAATAGCTTGAGTGGAGCGGCAATGAGGACCAAGTCCAGTGATGACGACTGTCACGAAGGCTTCTTCAGATATCGACCCTCCGCATCGAAGGAGTTTGTCGCGCGATTCGCGACAGCGGCTGATATACGCCATTCTTTTTTCGCCTGGTTTCATTTCGACTGTTGTCAGTTGCGCCATCAATCGACTCTAATTTACGCCGTCTGTTGTTTGATACAGGCTCTTCAAGTGAGTGTATGCGAGTTCGGCGGAGTTGCCGTATCCCTGGTAAGACCGTATATTATGCTGCTGATTTGGAGTGATGTTCCTCAGTAGAATCGTGTACGCCATTATTGACTGATACGTGTACTGCTGTTTGTCATACTGTGTGCCATTCGTTGGGTATGGCAGGGACCCGTCGAAAAAGCTGAGAATCTGTGCGCCTTCCATCATCAATTCAAACTCGACCGACCAGGTGAAGAAGTCCTTCCCGTCAAAGGGCCTTGACGTCTGCAGTTTTAAGACGTGCGCGAACTGCGACTGAACTTGAAGTGCGTCCAGTGTCTTCTCTTGTCCAGGTGCAGGCTGTGATTGTAGCATAAAGCTGACGGAGCCGCGCTGGGGCTTGTACGGGGCAAAGGTAGGTTGTTGTTGTTGATTTCAACGTGCGTAGGATGAACCATCAAGGCTCATTGGAGTCACGTTGTTGTTGTTGTCACTGTTGTTTGATTGCGCAGGTGCCGTCTATTGGTGTTGTTCGTAGAAGGACATGAAGGAGAAAAACTTCTCCATCATGTTCTAATCGAAGCATGCAGATTGATTCGCGGGAATCTCGGTCGAAGTTGCTCTTGATCTTGTTGCAGTAGCCTCCTCTGTATGTAGGCCAGAGGCAGGAGGAGGAGTAGGAGTAGTAACTGGGGAGCCGTTAGAGGGGCTCCTTTCCTTTTGTGTTGCCATGTCTTCTGACGTTGTAGATAACTTGATAATGGTTGAGTTCCCCCTGTTAGCTCTCATACCGTGTTGGGCTGAGAAAAGCCCCTTAGGATCTTTGCACGGCTGAACTCTGAGTAGCACTTGTTGTAATTAGCGGAAGCTTTAATGAGAATTGTTTGAACCACCTTACGCTGGTATGTGAGGGCAAAGTTGATTGATTAAAGCAAAGAGATACAAGATTATATAAGAGTACAAGGAATACGAAGAGACACGGTTCCAACTGTTTTACTGTTGCTGTTGCGGTTCGATATAGTGTCAACTCGGGCAACTGCTCCGTAACGAGTCAGTTGTGTGTACTTGCTGTCGCGCTGTACTTGTCAGGTCAAAGGTCGCTGACCTTTGACTTTCGCGTAACCTCCAGCAACTGCTCAACTTCCGGGGGTTGACTTGCCAGTGCTTCGATATGCTTCGCTTCGTTTCCGACTTGGTGTTTCGACATGACAGAGGCGCTTAGAGTCGATTGTTTCCAACACAAGAAGGGGTTGTAAAGAATCCACCACCAACAAAAAGTTTGATCACATTCAGGTCACCCAGAGATAGAAGCCCCTAGGGTAAGGGCTTCAAGGTTTAGTTGTCCTTATTCTGGAAGCAAAACTTATCATCCCTGGGTCATGATTCATGAATGACTTGTTTGTAGTAGTACTTGTTTCTGGAGCTGATCATGTACCACACACATGCCACTAAGAGTAATTGAGAAGCTACTTTCTTTTTGCAAATGCAACCCACAGCAATGAATCAAGAATTGTTGCAGGAAGGTAGGACATGAATACAGCAAATAGTGCTTGGTGGCCATACAGAACCCGCCATGGAGGACTGCTTTTGCCCAGTGCCACGTCAGCAAGTTGTGTAGCAAAATCAGCAGTGTTAGTCGCCCAAAGATTGTCCGCACTAGCTGCGAACTGCTCTCTGTAGGACGCCTCGTAGGGCTTGTAATGACTTGAACTGGGAAGGATGGGGGCGCTGGCTAGAGCGTTACTGCAGAAATCAGGGAAAGACGAGCAGTAGAGTGGAGTGCCGGCATGAGGGTATTCACACTTGCTGCACTGCAATGTGGCTCCACGTGGAGTGTGGCAGGAACGTGCAGCGTGGCACAAACGTGGATGTGAGAGGAAATGGCAAAATGGGGAAATTTTGCGATGATGGAGGAGTGTGCAATGTGCGATGGTACAAACAGGCGCATAAAAGAACAGACACCTCCTCAACAGCCAGGTTTTCTGGCACAACTAAGGCACACAGAAACTTAGGCGTTTTCTGAATCACCTCCAGAACAAACAATGAGCTGAACGGAAGATGCGTGACTTGATGTAGCCGGGTGTGACAAGCACCACGTCGATGCCGAAGGGACGCATCTCCATACACTTTCAATGTCCCAAGAATCCAGGCTCATAGTGGATTAGCAGCAAACAGTCAAACAGTCAACTGACCGGAAGATGCGCGACTTGATGTAGCCCGGTGTGACAAGCACCACGACAATGCCGAAGGGCTGCATCTCCATCCGCATGCAGCTGGCTTTTGAGGCGCCTCAAAAGTGAAAATAGCAATCAACTGACCGGAAGATGCGGGACTTGATGTAGCCTGGTGTGACGAGCACCACGTCAATGCCGAAGGGCCGCATCTCCATGCGCATGCAGCTGGTGGCCGCTGCGAGCGCCGCCTTGCTGGCAGAGTAGGCACAACTCCATGGCCTGCCTCCATGAAGGGGAATTTGACGATTTAGTTCAACTCATTACATGATTTGAAGGCAGGATAAAAAGATAAGAAAGGGCTTGATCAGAGTGATTGGTTGTTAGCTTGTCCCACAAGGAGGGCAAAGAAAGACGAGTGCACAGATTATGGAACGTACGTCAGAGAGGCAGGGAAGGGATGAAAAGCAATAAGCATAAACGATGATTAGGAGGCGAGCAGCTTACCTGTTGACATATGCCGCAACACTTGCCATGTTCAAAATGCGAGAGCGAGTCCTGTGACGAGCAGGCAGAGGAAGAGGAGGCAAGCAGCACGACGAGCGCGTAAAGAATCTGTTTTTTAGATGGTCTCACACAGATCATTAGTTTCCTACGTTTGCCTCACGTGCTTGCTGTTACTGCTACTCTCCGTGTCAGCAACAAGATAGTATTAGTGCCGCTTGCCAAGGCACACGAATTCGAAAAGATGCATCTTATGTTAAGGCAGGTGGCAAATCAGTCACAGAGCTTTTACATATGCCCACGGAAAAGGAAGTACCAGTGCGCCATGTGGGAAAAGGGAACTCGATCCCTGGTGACAGCACAGCAAGCTCGCAGATACAGGGAAGTCCAGGCAAATGTATCGACTCACAATTGAAAATATCTCCTATTGCTGCTGCTCTTGTTCCGACAACCTCGTGCACCATATAAGAGCCACGAAGACAGCTCACTGCTGCCTCAAGAGGCCTCAAAACCACCAAGAGCCCCTCACTGCGGCTGTGCCACGACCGGAAGATGGCGACAGCGACACGGCGCCAGCGCCACGGCGACAGCGACACGGCAACAGCGACACGGCGACAACGCCGTAGAGATCGACATCCAGATTCCAGCACCTGACGGAGCTGGTCCAAGGGTACATGGGCCATACCTGTTACCAGCGAAGCACAAAGCGGCGGGGTAAGAGCCACTCACTGCTGCTGCGCCATGACAGCACGGGGAAGACAGCTGGCGCCATGGCGACGGCGCCAAAGATATTGACGTCGAGCACCTGGCGGAGCTGGTCCAAGGGCACATCGGCCACGGGGCATTCACTGCTGCTGCCACGAATGCCCATTGCAAAAGAAGAGCCACTCACTGCTGCTGTGCCATGACCGGGAAGACGGCTCGGGCCATGGCAACGGCACCATAGAGATTGACGTCCAGCACCTGGCGGAGCTGGTCCAAGGGCACATCAGCCACAGGGCATGGCATGCCGATGCCCGCGTTGTTCACCAGCACATCTACCCGCCCCTCCTCTGCCACTAGGTGGGCCACTGCCGCCTGACAAGGGGCGCGGAAAAGGGGGAGTGGGGAGGAGGGATTTGGGTGACTTAAAAAGCACATCAGCCACGGGGCATGGCATGCCGATGCCCACGTTGTTCACTAGAATGTCCACCCGCCCCTCCTCTGCCACCACACGCGCCACTTCCGCCTGAGAAGGCCAGAGAAAGGAGAGGGTGGGTGGGGAGGAAGGGATTTTAGTGACACAAAAGGAACTTGGACCATGGGACACGGCATGCTGCTGCGCACGTTGCTCACCAGCACGTCCACCCGCCCATCCCTTGCCACCCGGTGGGCCACTGCCGCCCGAGAGGGGGCAGGAGAGAAGGTCTACAGGGGTGGGAGGAAACTAAAGTTGACTCAAATCTACCACGGAGCACGGCACGCCGGTGCCTGCGGTGGTTACCATACCAGCACGTCCACCCCCCCTCCTCTCATAAGCTTTTCAAAAGAGAAAGACAATACACTTTCTCCTAGGAATGGCGTGCCGATGAGTTGGAGTCGAGTGAAAAGCATGGCTACTGGGAACATCAGGGATCAGCAGGGGAGGTGTGAATGTTGATCACCTATCACCTGCATCATTCCAATATTTCCAACCACGCAACTCAAATTCTCCAGGTCGAACGAGTTCATTCTCTGAGCTACCTGAATAGATTCTTCGCTTGTGACGTCAAGCTCGAGGGTTCGAATCCCAGCGCTGACACTTAGTCCCTCCATTTCCGCCGCCTTCACCGCACTCGCATACACCCGCGCGCCTCTGCGCGCCATCTCCCTGGAGTCGGAGTGACAGAGACGAATGCCACGCATAACGGAACGAAGGATGAAAAGTACCAAAAACTGCATTCGTAGAACTTTGCAAATGCTGAAACTTCGCGACACCCGAAGGGATGCCACGGGGGGACGAATTCGCATGTTCGGAAGGAGAGCGTGAGAAGAGGTTCTTCCAATCCGTAACGAGCAAGAGAAAGGCCTGGGAAGCGAGGACGGAAAAAACCGGAGGCGGCATGGCGGCAAGGACTTCCGGAATGGCGGCGGAAACCGGAAAATTTTCTAAGGCAAAGGACCAACTCCACGAAATGAGGTATCTTCTACGAAGCTACAGGGACAGACCAATGTTTTGAGAAATCAAGTCGAATCGATCTCACACCGCTAATGCTACACGAACCGCAATGCCGATTCAGCAGCACAGCTCGAGGCTGCCTGCCTTGTTGAGCATGATATGATGATGTCGGAATTTCTCACAGTCAAATCACCTCGCGTCCTTGAGAGATTTAATTAAACGTTACCTGGCCGTGTAAGGAGCTTACTCCGCGAGAGCATAGCCGATGCCGCCTTGGGAGCATCCCGTTATTAGCACCACTGGACTGGAATGCGTCGTCGTTTTCTGGGTGCTGAACGGTCGGCTGAATAATCCGCCCATAGTAGCGTGCAGAACTGAGACTGCGGGGATGATAGAAGCACATGATCCACAATAGGTAAGAAAATAAGGGCAGGGGAACTTTAGAACGCGGCTGCGGCATCACCGCCATAAATCACGGCGGTGGAGCGGGAAGGATGTGGTTACTGGGCGAAAGCTACCGATGATTGACGAGTGGTTCCACATTTGTCGCCACGTTACGTTACACTGCCGAGCGAACTAGTGAGTCACTCACAAAAGATGCTGAGCTGAAGCTGTGGACTCTGGTTCGGGCCGAACGTCTGGGATTTTTTTGGTATTGCTTCGACGAATATCTATTGCCAGCACAGCCTATCACGGGATTGCGTCATGCCGTTGCTTTCACCCTAGTGGTGGCTCGTGGCGGGTTTCTGTACTGTGCATGAGTTATGGTTGTTGCATCCCAACCACTTGTGAGGGCAGCGAAGCGGGCAACTCGGAATATCTGGGCACATCCCTTGGCTGCCATCTCCAGTGACCTCGTCTATGGTGGCTTTCTGAGGCTGGGGAACCTTCACGGGCAACGATGGGATTCCCTGCAGTATGGTCACGTGGATACCATCACCTGAAAGCAAGGGGGTGCTTTCAGGTGCTTTCAGGGTTTATTGCTGCCTCAACACTGAAAGCACCCCCTTGCTAGTCTGGTTCTTTTTACTACAACCGGCATTTAAATGGACCTTCCATAATCCCACTCCCCGCAAACCTACTGCATGACATTCGCACATAAACACCAAAATTTTTAATCAATTATGTAGTGATTTCGGTAAGTGGGTGCCAGCTGCCCAAGGAGAGGGTGTACGGGAATAATCATCAAGCAGTGGGTCCAGTGTGCAGAGAATGTCATGGTGCCTGTCCCAGACGAGGTTAGGGAAAGAGATAAAGATTGCTTTATCACGCACAGGCACGGGATGACATTCTGGAACGAGAGGCGTTGAAGCAACGCCGGATACCCGCTCGCTCGCTTTTGTCCACCTCAGCTTATCGAACGGCTCCTGGGAATTGTCTGAACATATCGCTACATGAATCTCCAGTTTCAGCGGTCATTCTGACCATGCCCTGATAAAGCAGCAGTTCCCAAAGCAAGCAAATCGAGCGGACTTGCGCCGAGGCGACACAACACAGTTGGCGGAACAGAGTGCTGTGTTGGCGGTTTTCGGTCGTCCATGCCCGTGCAAAAAATGATTTGCGCGGGATCAGCTTCGCGAAAGTTCCGCCTACGCTGTTCTCCGCGTACACCCTTCCGCCCAGATGTGGAGGCATCTGCAATCCACATCTTCGTTCTGCTTGGCCTGCGGCTAGGGTTTGGTTTTGCGTACAGCCAATAGGAGCACGGTAACTGATGGTGAGGGTTTCGTGGCTCCACGAAAGATTTCCTGAAGCTGGTCTCGAGCACGGTGGCCCTAGCGTTCAGCTCTTCAGTAATCCCTTGGTTGGCCTAGCTCCTAGCAAGAAAAGCTAATCTGAATCCTCTCAACGCCCTGTCGCGTCAGGATTTTTCGTCGTTTCTGTGTGCTTACAGTATTAATGCGCGTTTTTTAGGAGACTACGCTAATTTAAGAATCCCTTGGTTACATTGCTAATAGCTTCATGTTTTGGTATGGCTGGCGAATTTGGAGAACGTTTAGAGCCAACGGACGGAAATGATGACTGGCCTTGTCAACCGTCAGATCGATTAGAGCACTGCGGGAGCCATGGAATCCATCAAGAGTTTAGGAAAATCGATCTTGAGAATAAGAGGGGACCGAACGAAGGCTTAGGCGTCGCTGGACCGACTCTTGAGAACGATCGAAATTATGAGCCCCAGAGTCCCCAGGAACATGTGCAGGAGATACTGGCCGAGCAGCAGCAGCAGCCGCAGCAGCCACAGCCATTACAGCCGCAACAATTAGACGACGCTGTGAATATGGACATGGATTGTCCGGGAGTCGCGGCGGAGTTCTGCGGGGTTCAGGACCCTGCAGCGGAGGACAATAGAAATCGAAACGAAGACGATGAAGACGGGGAGGAGACGGGCGACGATTTCGAGCTGCACGACGGGCCGATTAACAATGACGGCGGAGGCATCTCAGCGGGAGGGCCCGGGTGGGAGGCGTTCCTACCGCAGGGTAGTCTGAGGGTTTTGCTGGTCGAAGATGACGACTCCACCCGCCACGTCGTCGGCGCGCTGCTGAGAAATTGTTCCTACGAAGGTCCGTAGTGTGTCGCTCTTGCGAAGCTCCCACCAGATTTGTTCGTAGGAAGGTCCGGAAGGTTAGAACGTGCAAGTTGGAACTTGCGTATGCTCGGTAGTCGTCCGGCCTTTCTTACGATGCGTTTAGAAGCGATACTTTATCGTCGACCGAGCTGCTTTTTTCTTCTTAAAGCTTTATTTTTTTCAAGCCACGTCAACAGCAGCTTAGTTCGATGCAGACCGCCGAGATTTGTAGAACGAGAAATTTTTTCTTTGTTGCATCCTTGTAGAACGAAAACGGCAGCTTATAGTTGGATTATCGACCGCGCTTAGTTTCGCCGCTGTTTTCTCCGCAGGTCTTACCCATCGCAAAAGGGACCGTGTAGAGAATTCTCAAGGGCAAAGCACGGAAACGTATCGTCGAAATTTATTAACGTACAGCGCAGCATATTTTACCGTGGTTTTCTTAACGTAGTCATAGTTTTAGGAGGCGCTAACTCGTAGGCTTTGTCTTCGCGCGGCCGTGCGAACCAGTGTTGTCGGGGATTTGGAGTCACTACATTTGTTAGCCCGTTTCGGCTTTCTTCTTAGCTGCACCGTGCGCTTCCTCGTCTCGATTTTCATTTTTCTCTCAGAACTCTCGCTCTAGATTTTTCACGAGCAGATTTTAACAATAGTGGCAAATTATCCTCGGCGTAGTCACTCCCTTCGCGACGTCTTTCCGGCGTCATGGTTTCTCCATTCCTGTCCTTCCCTTCCCCCACATTTCCCACTCAGTGACCCTCTAGTGTTCTTCCCTTCCCCTCAACTCCCCCGCCTCCTCCCGGCTTTCTTCTTTCTCCCCGCGCCCTCTCCTGTTCCCAACAGTCACACCCGCGTCCAACGGCGTGCACGCGTGGGAGCTGCTGACGGCGAGCGGTGCAGCTCGGTTCGACCTGGTCCTGACGGATGTGGTGATGCCGGGGCTGTCGGGCATCGGGCTGCTCACGCGCATCATGACGCGCGAGGCGCTTCGCGGCATGCCCGTCATCAGTGCGTACCGTTCCTTCCCCTCGCGCCATCTCTCCCGCCGTCTTTCACGGCTCCAGATTGGATTGCGGCTTCGGCGCCTTTGTCTGCTTCAAAAATTTCGCGTGGCGCCGTTTCGCACCAATGTGCTCCGCAGCAGCGGCCGCAGGCGCCATTCATGCGCATGCGCCGCCGTATGACACTTCATTTGACATGACATTTGACACCATGTGCTTGTCGTTTCACGCGTGCTTCCTCTCATCTCCTGCTTCCAGTCCTGTCGTTTTATTCACATACTCCTGTTTCCTGCAACCCCACATCTTCCTCCCCTCCCCTCCCCCCTCCCCCCCTCCCCTCCCCCCCCTCCCCCTCGCAGTGATGTCGTCGCACGACAGCATGGAGATGGTGCTAAAGTGCTTCCAGAAGGGCGCGGCGGACTTCCTGGTGAAGCCCGTGCGTAAGAACGAGCTCAAGAACCTCTGGCAGCACGTCTGGCGCCGATGCCACTCGGTACGCCGGGACTCTTTTCCTGCTCTGCGCCTCTGCTCCGCGCTCGCCTGCGCTATGCTGCTCCGCCCTGCTCGCTCGCATGCTGTTCGCTGCATTGCGCACCGCTGTGCTGCCCTGCCCTGGCCCTAGCTCCCTTGCCTTGCGTTAGGATTTCACCGACGTTTTTCAACCATGTTCTGGCCTTGCATTTCCCTTTAGTGGGGTACTAAACCCTGCTTTTTTTGTTGGTTTCTTTTATTTTCGGGGTGGGCAGTCGACAGGCAGCGGCAGTGGCAGCGGCAGCGGCACGAACGGCAAGGTTCTTCGAGAGAAGCGGGGCGCGTACGAGGGCGACGGAGTGGGGTGCAGCTTCAACGTGAACGGCGGCAGCGACAACGGCAGTGGCACTCAGGTTCGTATCGGCCCCCGTGCTGCTGCTGGGAACGATGCTGCGAGTGATGCTGGGAGGGATAGCGAGAGGGATTCTGAGAAGGATGCTGGCAGTCGTACGTGCTCGCCTGTCCGCGGCAGTATCGGCCGACATTCTCAGTGCCGAACGGATGCCTCTACATTCAGCCTAAGGTGCAGGTTTCTGCGCACCGACGCTCTTGGCAAACGACCGAGAAGCCCCGAAGCTGGCGCTCCCTCATGCCCGCATCCAGACTGGGCTTCAGGCTCGGCATCAGGCTTGGCCTCAGGCTCGGCTTCAGGCTTGGATTCGTCCTTGAACTTGGGCTCAGGCTCGGGCGACGGTGGGCAGAAGCGCGGTGGTTCGTCTACCGCCCTCCTCTCCGCTCCCCGCGCTCATGCGCCGCCTCCTCTCCGCGAGCCTCCCGCTGCTGCAGTGCTGCTGCGCCCCCCTCCTTCACACGCCGTGGCGCCGCTTCTCACACTTCTTGGGGAGTGAATAGTGCGCCATGGAGCGCCTTCCCCTCGCCATCTCCAATCCGCCTCCTTCTCCCTCTCCTTCTCCTTCTCCTTCTCCTCCTGCCTTGGTTGGTCGATCGCCGTCTCACCGCATTCTCTCTATCTGCTCTGCTCTGCTGCGCTGTGCGTGTGCCTGTGTCCCTCCCTTGGGGCACCCTGATTGGTGGGGGTGGGGGTGCGGGGGGGGAACAGGTCAACGCCAATGCCACTAAGGCACACGCGCGGGAGAAGCAGGAGAGGGAGAGGGAGAGGGAGAATGAGCGCGAGAGGGAGAGGCAGGCGGAGGGAGAGGGCAACTGCGACGGCACAGGGAACGACCTAGGTAATGCCACCGTCTGGTAGCGCTTTCTCTCTCTTGCCCACATTCTCTCACTTGCTGTCGACTGTTTCTTTCTTTTGATTCCGCTCCGCCATTGCCTTGTATCCATGTGACAGGTCTGCCCTCTACCACCAATGCTTGCTCTCCCCTTCCCCCTTCCCTCCCCTTCTCCCCGCACCCCTTCCACCGCGCCCCCCCACGCCCATTCCCCCCCACCCGATTCGCCCCCCCTCTGTTTTTCCCGCTCTCGTTCCTTCTGCTCGCGCTCGTTTGCGCCGTCATTCTGATCTCGCGTGTTTTCCTCTTCGCTTGCGCGCGCGTTTCTCACGGTAACAGCAGCAGGCGGCACCATGGTTGGCTCGCACTCCGCTCTGCCCCACACTACCGCCGGCGCTGCCGCCGGATCCGGCCCCTTACCTGCCAACACCGCCGCTGCCGCCGCCGTCGCTGCAGCCGCTGCTGTTGCGACTGCTGCTGTTCTCCCTGCGGGTGGTGGCGGAGGAGGGGAAGGGGGAGGGTGCGAAAGGGGAGGGGGAGGAAGAGTTGCAGTTGCTGGTGGCGGCACTATCGGGGCCGCGATTGGCGGCGGCGGCGGCGGCGGCATGGTTATGGGAGCGGCGTTCGCGTTTGGCATGATGGCGATGGGCGGCGCGACGGCTATGCAAGCGTCGGGGGAAGGCTCGACTATCAAAAGGCCCGACGAGTTTGTGTATGATGGGGGAGGCGGGGGAGGGGGAGTGGCAGGGGGAGGGGGAAAAGGCGCGGATGGATCCCCGCACGTGCTGATAGCTGCCCTCAGGTCGGCGCAGCGGCAAGAGGAGGATGCGCGCGGGGGAGCGGGGGGTGAGAGGCACGCGGAGAGGAAGGGCGTGGCGGAGATTGGGGGCGCGACGAGTTGGCGCATGAGGGGGGGGGAGGAGGAGGAGGAGGAGGAGAGGGAGTTTGAGAAGGAAAGGGAGCGGCGATTGGAGCATGCGAGGCAAGCAACTCACGGCGGACGCGGCTCCGCCGCCGCTGCTGCTGCGGCGGCGGCGTTGGCGGCGGCTACAGCCGCTGCAGCGGACGGCGTTGCTGCTGCTGCCACGGCCGCTGCTGCAGCCGGCGCTACAGCCGGCGCTACAGCCGCGACTACAGCCGGCGCTACAGCCGCGGTGGCTACAGCCGTGGAACACCACCTGGTGTCGGGCGCGCGCGTGACGACGGCGCCCACTCTGGCGTCGGAGGAGGCGGCGCTGCAGATCGGCAACGAGAGCGAGGAGGGTGCGACGCCGCGCGCGGAGGAGGACCGCGAGAACGAGGGCACGTCCGCCGAGTCCACGCGCGAGGCTTCCGCGGAAGCCATGCTGCTGGGGGGGCTCACGCTCGCGGGGAAAGCCGCCGCGGCGGACGCCGCCGCGGGTACGGGCGCGGGTGCGGCTGGTGGCGGACCTTTTGGACCTTTCGCTTCCGGTCCTGCAGGAGAAGGGGTTCCGAACCTAGGGACTGATAGGCTTGGTGGTGTCGGGAGCAGTGCTGTGCGGTGGGGGAGAGGGGGAGGAGGGAGGGGGAGAGGCAAGGGGGTGGCGGAAAAGGTGATGCCCGGGGAGGCGGAGATACGGGACGACGGGGGCGGCGGGGCGGCGCGGAGGGTGGCGGATAGGGATGGCGCCGCGTGCACGGGGCCCAGCAGGAGAGTGACTGAGGGCCGGATAAATCTCGAGACGACGCAAGAAGGGCGCGCAGGGGAGGATGTGGAAATGGGGGAGGGGGACGAGGAGGAAAGGGGTGTTAGAGAAGGAGGAGAGGGAAGGGAGGAGGAGTGTATGGAGGTGGAAGGGGGCGAGGAGGGGCGGAGGGGCGAGGGGAAGGAAGCAGGGACGGGAGGTGTCGGAACGGCTGGGAAGGAACAGAGGATGGTGAGAGGCGACGGGGGAAAGGGCAGTGGGAATCAGCAAGGGCAGCGGCAAGGGCAGCGGCAAGGGCAGCGCGAGCACCATCCAGTGCATCCCCTGAAAGTCTCCGCCTTCTCACGGTAAGCTTCCCCTTCTCCCGCACCTTCCCCCTTCCACTACTTTTCTCGTGCACCTCCCTCGCTTCCCCTCTCCTTCAGTGTTTTGCTTTCTGCATTCACCCACATCGTCCGCTCTTCCACTGATTTTGCCCTCCATCCTTCTCCTCTGTCCGTTTCTTCCACCTCTCTCTCGCCTTGTCCAGCTATCACACGGCCAGCCCAATCCCAGCTACCAATCACAGCTTGCCACCTGGACCACCGTCAGATGCAGCGCCATCCGCCACAGCCGCCGCAGCTGCCGCCGCGGGCGCAGCAACGCACCGCGCAGGCGCACATCCGCCGCCCTCATTCGCGCACCATCCGCCGTGCGACCCGCTGCCACACGCGCACGCCCTGGCGAGCGCACTCAGCGATCATCCACTGCACGCCCCGCATGCGCCTATCACCCGCCCCCTTGACCGCCACGCTTCCGCCTCACAGCAGCATCAGGCGGCGCAGCATCAGCACCAGGCGTCGGGCAACGTCTCCTCCGCTCTCACAGCGTCGCAAGGCGCGGTTGCCGCTGGCGCGCATGGGAAGGGCGCGAAAGCGGCGCACGTGGCACACGCCAAGGCGCCTGGGGCGCACGGGGGAAAAGGGGCGCAAACAGGCAGGGTCGTTGGCTTCTGTGAGGCCGTGACGGGAGGCCTCGTGCAGAAAGACGCGCGTGCGTTTCCCCCCATGCTGGGCGCAATGGACGCTGGCGCTGCTGCTGTCCGCGTGGGTCACGTGGTGGCGGGGCAACCGCAGCAGCAGGTGCTGTGCAAGCCGTGCAAGCCGCCCCCTGTTGCTGCTACTTCCACCACTGCTGCTGCCGCGGGGAAAGGCGATGCTGCCTGCGTGTGCGCGGGCGCAGATGCCACCGCTGCTGGTGCGTCTGCTGCAGGGATGCGAGGGGTAGACGGGAACATGGGAGCCGGCGCGTCAGCAGCGACTTTCGCAGGGGTGAGTGGCGTCACTACCGCTCGCGCTACCAGCGCTCTCCCTACTGCCGCCGCCGCTACCTGTGCAACCGCGTCTGCCGCTGTGTCGGCCGCGGCAGCTGCCGCTGCTGCTGCTCGCGCTGCTACTGGCACTGTCACTGTCCCTTCTGCTACAGCCGCTACAAGCGTCGAGCCTCCCTCCACTGCAGCAACCGCTGCTGCTGCTGCTGCTGCTGCTGGCGCGGCTGGGTCAGCTCCGGCGCTCCCCATTACTCCCTTTTCTTCTTCACCGTCTTGCGCCGCCCCTCCTGCTGCTAGCGGAACGCCTGGCGCGCTCTCCCATTCCCCCGCGGATGTGCGGGGCGGGGGGCTGCTGCTCAGCACGTCGGGATGCCCTGGGGGGAGAGAGGGCGGGGGAAGCGGCGGAGGGGGAAGCGGAGGTGGGGGAAGCGGGGGAGGAGGGAGCGGGGGAGGGGGAAGTGGGGGAGGCGGGAGTGGGGGCGGAAGCAGAGGGGACGGGGGTAGTGGTGGAGGAGGCAGTGGGGGGAACGGAAGCGGTGGTGGGGGGAATGGCAGCGGCGGCAACGGGAGTGGGGGAAATGGCAGTGGGGGGAATGGCAGTGGTGAGAACGGAAGTGGGGGGAATGGGAGGACGGATCGGTCTGGTGCAGGTGGGGAGTTGACAGAGGCAACAGCAGCGTCAGTGACGGGAGGTATAGCTGGGGGAGGTCACATGCACCGCAATGGCAGCACCTCGGCTGTCACTCGTCTCCCTCTTGCCCCCGCCGCCCCAACCGCCCCTGCTGCCCCTACTGCTCCGGTTGCCCCTGCTGCCGTCCGTGTTGCTCCAACTGCCCCTGCTGCACCCGTTGCTGCTTCTCCTGCAGCTTCATCCCCTGTGGTTCCTACCGTTCCCTTCGCCTCTTCTGCTGTTGCTCCAACTGCTGCTCCTACTGCGGCAGCCACAGCGGCAGCAGCAGCTGCGGGTTTGTTTGCACGCCCGTTCAACCCCAGTCTTGCAGCGTCAGGGCTGTACCTGCAATCGCCGCTCTATTATGCTGCTGCTGCTGCCGCAGCGGCGGCGGCTGCAGCTGCGGCAGTGGCGGCGGGTGTGCCTCCCCCGTGGACGTGCCCTCCCCCTCCCCCCAGCGCTCAGCGGCTGACACAACCGCAGCAACAAGAACGGCAGCAGCAAGAGCAGCAGCAACAGGATCAGGAGATGCAAGAAGCGCAGCAGGAAGTAGAGGCGAGAGGGCAGCAGCAGCAGATGCAAGTGCAGCCTCGCCAGCCTCCTTTGCAACTCCCGCCGCCACCACCGGTGCCAGTCGGGTCACAGCAACGACAGCAGCAGCAACAACAGCCGCCACAGCAGCAGCTGCAGTCTCAGCAGCTCCAGCAGCAAGAGCAGCAACAGCCGCAGCAGCATCCTGATTGGCGGCCGCGCTTGCTAGAAGCACCCTCCTTCCCAGCATCGCCCTTCCCCGGTGCCACCCGTTTCTCTCCTGTCTCCATGCACAGCCGCACTCCCCCACTCGGTCTCCCTCGCCCCCATCCCCACGCGCTCGCGCACCCCCACCCGCACCCGCCCCCGCACTTCGCGCTCCAGCCTCGCGTTCCCCCGACCCTGCCGCAAGTTTCGCCACAAGGGCAGGGTGGGTCTCGAAGGGAGGAACAAGACGAGTTGAAACCAGGAGCGCAGCAGCAACAGGAGCAGCAAGAGCAGCAGGAGATGCAGGAGGAGCAGAAGCTAGAGCAGGGCGAAAAGCAACGGCAGGAGCGAAAAGAGCGGCAAAAACAAGAGCAGCGGCCACAACAACAAGGCCAAACGCTGTGCCCTCGTGCTCTCACCCTTCCAAACGCAGAAATGGCCGAAGCTGCAAACGGCACAGCAACCAACGCAACCGTAGCTTTCGTCGCCGCGGCTACACACAACACAGATGCAGCCGCACCAAGAGAAGCAGCTGGAGACTCCCCACCGCTGCCGGCAGCACAGCAGCCGCGGCGGCGCCACCAGACCCACCACCACCTGGCGAAACACCTGCTGCCGCCCCCTCCGCCGCTCCCTGTCGCCGGTTCCTCCCCGGGTTTGAGACCGCAGGACGCAAGGAGAGAAGGGAGAAGAGACGATAAGGATGAAGGGGCGAGGAGAGGAAAGGAGGAGGAAGAGCGGAGAATGGACTCGGATGGTGCAGCGGCGGGTGAGGGAATGCGGGATAGGCGAGAGGACAGGGAAGGGAAGGAGGCGCAGCAGGTAGTGGCGGAAGGAGGGAAAGGGAAGGACTCGGAGATTGCTCGTCTGGAAAGCAAGACTCCTCCGTCGCCCAGGGCGACAGGGCAGCCGGTGAAAGCGGTGCAGCAGGAGAGCCATGGCAAGGTGCGTGTGTCATCTACAGAAGCTCTGCACTGGGTGGAAGAGTCCAAGGCGCTGCTGCAGGAGCAGGTGCAGCAGGGGCAGCAGGGGCAGCAAGGGCATAGGCAGCATCACCACCACCACCACCGGGACCAGCGGCACCACCACCACCGCCACCACCATCGCGGGCACTCCCACCCGTCTTTGCAGCAGCAGCATAGTGTCAGTGTCATGTCGCCTGCTAACCCTGGCGCCGCTGCTGCCGCCGCCGCTGCCGCCGCTGCTGGTGCTGATGCGGCAGCAGCAGCTGCTGCAGAGGATGCGAAGGTGAATGCGAACGCATGTGGCAGTCCGGAGGGGGGAGGTTCCAACCCTCACAATGCTGCTGCTGCAGTAGCAGGGGCAGCAGGCGCAGCAGCAGCAGCGGGCGCAGGTCCGGTTGCTCTTTCAGGGCACCACCGAGCCTCGGCCGCAGCTGCGGCTGCCGTGCCTCGAGGCGAGGTTGGGAACGACGGGAGCAGCAACGTGTATGCGAAGGGCGGCGGTGGCGGCGGCGGTGGTGGCTGCGGCGGCGGCGGAGGGAGAAGGAACGCGCGCGAAGGGGTTAACAACAGCAGCAGCAGTGGCGGGAACGGCAATGGGGATGGGAATGGAAGCTCGGAGTATAATGAGAGTGGGGACACGGGGAGAGACATGGCGGGGAGCGCGCGCGCAGGGAGTGGCGGGCGGAGTGGCAGCGGGCAAGGATCGGGTGGAGGGGGAAGCGGACAGGGGAGTGGGGGAGGCAGCGGAGGCGGGAGGGGAAGCGGGGGCAGCGGAGGCAGTGGGGGGAGTAAGCGCGGGGATGCAAGCGCGAATGGGGCGCATGAGTGGAGCAGAACGGGGGGAGGCGCGGGGGGCGGTGGGGGGATACAGGCGCTGTTGTCTTGCGCCAATGGCAGTGCGGTGGGGTCCAAGGACCAGGCGCATGACACTGCGGGCATGACAGGCGCGGGCGGACGCTTCCAGTCCCCACAACGGGGGAACGGTGAAGGGGGCAGTGGCGGGGAGGGAGGTACTGGCGCGGGGAATGGTATTGAGGGGATGGGGAGTGGAGGAGAAGGCGGAACAGGGGGCAGGGGAGGGGAAGGCAGTGGGGGGGATGGTGGGGGGAGTGGAAACGGAGGGGGTTCGGGGAGGGGAAGTGGTGGGGGAGAGGGGAGTGGGGGGGAGGGTAGCGGAGGGGAAGGGGGGACTGGGGGGCAGGCAATGGGGATGGGAGGCGGGGGGGCGGAGGAGGGGAGGCGGCAGTCAGGGGGGCAGTCAGTGAGGCGCGAGGGGAATGCCATGGGCGGAGATGGCGGAGAGGGGGGCAGGGATGGCGGAGAGAGGAACAGGGATGGTACCGTTCCCGCCTCTGCCACAGCTGCTGCAGGCGCTGGTGCTAACGGGGAGGCTCAAAGGGGGTTGGATGGGATGAGGGAGAGAGGGAGGGGGAGTGCGTCAGAAGCAACAGAGGCGTTAGATGTGGCAGCGAGGGATTTGAGAGGAGAGGGAAGCGGTGGCGAGGCAGAGGGGGCGGAGGGCAGTGTTGGGCGAGAGGACGGTGGTGCTGCGTGTGCGGGTGGTGTTGGTGGTGCCGTGGGTGGTGCTGTGGGTGTGGTGGGACGGAAACGAGGCAGAGAGGAGGAGGCAGCGGGTGAGGACATGGCTGGGATGGGTGGACGAGAGGGGGGAGGCAAGAGCAGCAAGAGACGCGAGTGGCTCACTGAGGGGATAGGGGCAGCTGGAGAGGTGCAGCGGATACAGGCGCAACAGCAACAACAAGGCCAAGCGGAAGAGGAGGAGGAGGAGGGGCGAGAGGGTGCGGATGTGCACATGAGAGAGGGTTTTGAGGAGAAGCGGCAGGAGGAGGATGGGGAGGAGACAGAGGATGAGAGGGAAGTGGAGGATGGTGGCGAGGAGCGTGGGGAAGGTGGGAGGGAGGAGGCGGGGCAGGAGGAGGGTGCAGCAGGGCTGCTGTCTCTATCTGCCTCTCTCTCTGCACCCGCCACCACGCCTTTCCCTGCACCTCCCGCCATCGCACCTACTGCTGCCGCTGCTGTTGCCGCCGCTGCTGCTGCTGTTGAAGGTCGCGGAGGAGAGGCGGTAGAAGGGGCTGATGGGGGAGGGGAGCAAGCAGCGCGAGGGGCGGAAGGGGTGGAAGGTGCATACAGTGCAGAGGGAGCAAGAGGTGGGGAAGGGGCTGGCAGTGCAGACGGGGCGGAGGGCAGTGGCAGGGTGATGAGTCGGCAGGCGGTGCGAGAGGCGGCACTTAATAAGTTCCGGCTGAAGCGCAAAGAGAGGAACTTCGAGAAGAAGGTGCGTCCGTATTCTTGAGCCATTCGTTGCCAGCCCAGGCGGGTTTTTTCCTAGAAGCATCCCCTGCTTTTCTCCACTTACCCACCAAACCTTCGCCACCATCTGCCATCCTCAAACTTGTGCCTTCAACCATTGCACCACTCCCCTCCCCTCCCCCTCCTCCCTTCCTCCTATTCTCCCTACCTGCCCCGCTTTCCCTCTTTCCCCTCTTGCATGCGTCATCATGTGCATTTGTGCTACCAGAGTCGCAAGCAACTTTGCGTCATTTTCCTCAATTCATTTTCCTCAAAAAGTCATTTTCTTCTTTCTTGCGTCACCATCTGCAGGTGCGCTACCAGAGCCGCAAGCGACTGGCAGAGCAGCGGCCGCGCTTCAGAGGCCAGTTTGTCCGCCAGCCCGCCCTCCCCCCCACTCCCCCTCCACCTGCTGCTCCTCCCTCCCCCGCTCCTCCCACCATGCTGCAGCAGCACTTGCCTCGCGCACCAGTCATGACTCCCGCCGTCCATGCAGGGAGGGGCCAAGGCAGCAGCACGCCCTTCCCCGTGCACCTGCCAGTGATGCACACACAGGGCGTGGCAGGAGTGGCGGGAATGACAGGAGTGCAGGTTCCAGGGATGATGGCAGCAGCACCGGCGCGAGCTCAAGGGGGCAGCAACCTTGACCGAACGATGCAGTTCTTCCCTATCGCACCCTGCCCTGCCGTCGCCACTGCCCCTTCCATTGCCACTGCTCCCCCCTCGGGTCCGCTCCCGCTTGCCCTGAGCAGCCGCGGTCAGGAGAGGGTATTTATGAGCCACAGCAACGGCATCAGCATTTGGAGTTTTGGCGCGAGCGGCAGTGCGAGTGCGGGTGGGAGTGGGAGTGGGAGCGGGAATGCGAGTGGGAGTGCGAGCGGGAGGGTTCCTGAGAGCAGTTACAGTGCAGCAGTGGCGGATATGAGCTATGGTGCGGCCGTTGCTGATATCAACGGTCCGGATTCGTCTGGTGGTGTGCCTGCTGCTGCCTTCCTTGCTGCGGCCCCCTCTTCTGCTGCTGTCGCTGTTGTTGGGGAGGGTGTTGGAGGCTTGGGAAAGAGGGTTTGGGGGAAGATAGGAGAGAGTATGGAGGGAACTGGGGTTACCATGTGGCCTAAGAGATGACATGCTGCTGACTCCTATAACTATGAGAGCTTGACACCTGGAGGTTTGGCAGGATGACACATGGACAGCTGACACGCTGACACGTGGAGGGATGACAGTTAACAGGTCGATACCTGGCGTGAGTGTCGACCTGCTTCTATCTATCGTGGTTTTATCAATGTTGCTGAGGTCACCACCAGCTCTGTGAGCATAGGATGCCTTTGCTACATGGCTAGCATGCGATAGCAGTGCTGTGCTATCCTTTTTTGGGGCCTGGCAGGCTCTATGGCCACACATGACATGATATGAGTTGCTGTAGGGAGGATGATGCTAGGAGGGGTTGAGGGGTGGGCTGCATGAGGGGTGTGTAGGGCCCAAGGTCCTCTCCACGCCTTTTTGTAGATACGTGCTGAGCTGTACACTCGGATTACGGACCTTAGGCATTGTGGGTTTGCGAGAGAAAAAAAGTGCATGTATTTATTTGGTTGATAGTAATCACTGAATTCATAAACAGCTGGTTTGGCTGAACTCGATATTACGAGTGCAATGGAGTGAACGGACGAGAATTGCACTAAAGAAGCAAGAATACAATGAGCGAAGGCATGAACGAAGAATATACCGTATACTCCCGGACAAAACACCCCCCCATAATTGTACACCCCCGGGTAGCTTGTGCGGGGTGGGTGTTATGATAGACCTCGTTTCTACTATACCCCCCTTTTTGGCTGATTTTCTATAACACCCCCCTTTTCTTACGGATTCATTTTTTTAGTCGTTAACAAGTAGCTGCAATACGGAAGAATATCGTGTGAATTTCTCCCTCAATGAAATTTCGCGGTACATTCAAAGGCAATCTGCCGAGATTTGCCCCCTCCCACTATTTCTCTATTGCCACGTGCAGGTGAATCTTCCGTTGCAAGTGGCAAGAGAGGTGTCACATGGCATTTTCGTGAGGGCGATGAAGTTCGAGGCCGAAACTGACATTCGCGCCTCAGGCAGTGATGCTAAAACGACCAGCAAAACACCCACATTGACTAATAAAAAAAAACACTAACACTAAAATATGCCATATGTAAAGACCCAAGTATTATGTATTTTTTTCCTATGAGGAGACCCCCCCCATTTTTTCCCTGTATTTTTAGCTATACCCTAGGGTGTTATGTCCGGGAGAATACGGTATAGCGAAACTACAGTGGTAACGGTAATGGACTGTGGTTGTCGCGCGACGGGCCTGGGACTGAGGTTGGGAAAAGTGTCGAAGCGGAGGCCCGGAGCGCAGGTTACCCGCCGAGCCGTGAGGTCGGGATGCGACGTGCGAAGGTGGCGGGCGGATTGTCGATGCGAGGATTGCGAGTGGTAACGGTGCTGACTGTGGTGCTACAGTGATATACGCGTTGAGCAGGGATGCGAAGTAAGGAAACAGAGATTTTCCTTACACTACCCCCCCCCCCTTGAAGGAGGTCCTCCTTACGAAAGTGCGTGTACATCCCTGAAATTCCGGCTGCGCAGATACTCGGTGAGGACGGGGTGATTTTTGGTTCTGTCCAGGGGAACCCAATTGTCTTCGGTGGGTGTACGGTCCTTCCAGCGGAGTAAGAACTCGATCCTTCGGGCTCCTCGAGGGTCGCGAACTCTGTGGCTCAAGATTTTTTCGGGGGTGATGATTGGCTCAGTCGGCGGTCGTGTCATGCTGGCTGGGCGATTGCGTGGGAGTTGGCTTGTGGACGGGACGTAGGGGCGAAGCAGGCTGACGTGGAACGAGGGGCTGACGTACCAGTCAGCAGGGAGGAGGAGGTGGGCGGTGACAGGTGTAATCATGTGGCTTATGCGAAATGGCCCGCAGTATCGGGGGCGGAGTTTCGGGGTGATGGGCAGTCGGAGATTTTGGGTGTCGAGCAAAACTAGGTCGTCGGGCTGGTAAGTGACGGGTCTGCCGTGGCGGTCGGTGTTGCGTTTAGCGATGATGTTAGCTTTTTTAATTGCGTCTGCTGCCCTGGTCCGTGCTGCTTGCAAAATTTCGGCGAACTGTTGCGCGCGTGGAACCGGGTTGTCGGGATTCGGGGTCATGGGTACTGTTGGGTCTTGTCCGTAATTCAGGTAAAACGGTGACTGTTGGGTCGTGGCGGATGGGGCGTTGTTGTATGCGAATTCGATGAGTGGCAGTTGCTGTTCCCACGTGTTTGGGTCGTCGCACGTGGCCCGGATGAGCTGTTCCATGGTCTGATTTGTCCGTTCTGTCTGTCCGTCGGTTTCGGGGTGGCATGATGAACTGAACTGCAGTCGCGTGCCGAAATGCTGCCACAGGTTCCGCCAGAAGTTGCTGGTGAATTTCGTGTCGCGGTCGCTGATGATCGCGGCTGGTATCCCGTGCTGTCGAACGACGGTGAAGATGAAGAGGCGTGCTGTTTCTTCGGCTGTGATGGATTTTTTTGCAGGCTGCGAAATGTGCCATTTTCATCAGTCGATCGACGACGACCAGGATCGCGTCGTTCCCACTCGCCCCGGCTAGTAACCCCGTGACGAAGTCCATCGTCACCTGCTGCCAAGCATGCTCTGGGGGTGGTATCGGCTGCAACTGTCCCGCCGGCCGCTGTCGTGATGATTTCATGAGCTGACAAGTGGGACACGATGCCACATGTCGTTGTACGTCGGTCAACATTTCGGGCTAGTAATAATACCGCTGGAGCTGCTGCCGTGTTTTTTCTATCCCGAAATGCCCCGAGGTAGCTCCGTCGTGTGCCTCCTTTAACAGTAATTCTTGTAGCAGTGTATACCCAGGCACCCAAATGTGGTTAGTCCCGGTTTTTACGTAATAGACTCCCTTTGCTGCTGCGAACTGCTGCCAATTTCCTCCTGTGAAGAATGGATCCGTTTGGTACCCGTGGGTTAATAGGCCTGTCAGTAGCGGGCTTGTCTGGGCGTGGATCTGGGCAGTGGGGCGGGTCAGTGCGTCGGCGATGTTCGAGGCTCCCTTTTTGTAAGTGACCGTGTAGTGAAAGTTGGACTCGAGGAAATCGAGCCAGCGAATCTGTCGTGGGTTGAGGTGTGGCTGTGCGCGAAGGTACTGTAGTGATTTATGGTCTGTCCGTACTGTCACGTCCGCGCCAGTCAAGTAAGAGCGCCATACTTTGAACGCGTGCACGATCGCAAGCATTTCGCGGTCGTGTATCGTGTAATTTTTCTCGGGCGGATGCAGTTTTCGTGACTCGTATGCGATAGGTTGTAGGCCATTGCCGAAATCCTGTAGCAGTACGGCTCCGATGGCGATATCGCTTGCGTCGGTAACTACTTCGAATGGGCGGTGTGGGTCGGCGATGCGCAGGACGGGCGGAGAACAGAGAACATTTTTCAGGGCAAAGAAGGCAGCATGCTCTTTCTCCCCCCACCGAAAAACGACCCCCTTTCGCAGTAAATCCGTCAGCGGGGCGGTCAAGTGTGCCATGTCGGGGACGAACCGACGAACATAATTAACGAACCCTAAAAAACTCTGCAGTTCCGTGATGTTCGTCGGGGGACGCCACGCTTTTACCGTATCCAGCTTCTTAGGGTCGATTTCAACTCCAGCCTTCGAAATAACGTGCCCCAAAAAATTCTAGTCTGTCCCGAAAAAACTCGCACTTAGAGCCCTTGGTGAGTAACCGATGTTCCTCTAAAACTTTAAATACTGCTTCGAGATCCGCTAAGTGCTGCTGCTTGTCGCGACTGTAGACGAGGATGTCGTCGAGGTAAACTATCACGCATTTATCTAAGAGTGGCCTAAACGCCTCGTTCATGGTCATCTGAAATGTTGCGGGTGCGTTGGTCAGCCCGAAAGGCATCACCGTGTACTCAAACGACCCGTACCTTGTCCTAAATGCTGTCTTGGCGCAGTCCGATGGTTCGACCCGAATCTGATGGTAA